CTCCTCGTGATCAAAAATAACTCGATATTTTCCTTTTCCTCCTCGAATCTTGGTTAGAGAATATCCAGAATTTAAACTGACCAAAGACGACGATTTCTGTTTCAGGATCGCGAGTTCGTGGAGATGGAGGTGCCCTACAACGGTGCCCCGAAGAGGCCGGGCTCGCCCTCGCCCCTCACCTCTCCCGCGCACAGCACTGCCTCGAGGGGCGGCCTGCTGCACGCCTGCTGCGGCCGCTGCTACCCCCAACGTTACCAGGTACGCGGTCGCCGTATTCTCGCCTCGACGACCTCCATAAGCGAGGGCCCACCCTCGTCTTCCTCCCACTCTCACCAATCGCAGCCGGCGCAGTCCCATTATCAGCCGGTTGACCCAACCACGGTGCCGAACGTCGCGTTTAACGTGCCCGGTGACAGTGATCGGCAACGTCGCCAGGGCACCACCTCCTCCAGCCCCTACAACGAGACAAGGGTGTGAGCCGGGCTCGNGCGATTCACAATCGAAGGAATTCGTTCGTTCCCTTTCGACCGTGATCGAGATTACGTATATACCTCACCACCGATCTCGAGATCCCACACCACCTGCACCACCTCTCGTTTCTCTTCGTGGTGAGTTCTTATTCAGGTTCGTTCTTATTCAGCTTCGTTCTTCCCCGCTGTTGCAGAGGGAAATGGAAGCCTCGTTATTTGAAGAATTTATTGGATGGATATTAGGTGGATGTTAGATGGATCGATATCAGGTGGATCAACACTCGATCTCGAGGCTGCGACGACAAGTAATGGGGTAACGAGGATCGGTATGAGGAAAGACTGAACGTTCCATATCTTGGAGGGATTCGAGGGATTTGATTCCAAAACCGACTGACTGACACTATAGGCGATACTAATTTCGATTTTGGGTCCGATATGAGGAACTTTCTCGCGAAATTTTAGGTAAACCGTTCGATCTTATCTTCGATCGTTGGGCGATCGGCTTGGGATGATTCTTGGCATTCTCGATCTTCTTAGTTGTCCCCGATCGAACGAAGACTCGAGCAAAGTTGGCCGGGTTCAAAAGAAATCAAAAAAACGTTTGTGTTCCGATCCTAGGGCGAAATCCCAGGTCCTCGAAGACTGGATCAATCGCGATCCTAACGATCGTTCACCGATTTTTAGATTATTACGAGTCGCTTGGAGATTAATTGCCGGGATTCGACGTTTAAATGAAACCCCATCTCTCTTCTCGATTCCAACAACACCGCTATATTATATATATATATATATATACGTAGATGACGAAGTTACGTCAGTCGAGATGCATAACGTAACGGATTATCCTATGAGGTGTGAAGTGGAGTCGCGACAACGAAATATCGTCGACATCGAATCCCGGTTGTTAAGCACGACTCTCCAAGGAGAGTCTCTCCCACAAGCACTGCCAACGAGGGTTCGAATTTCGAACCATGTGCTCTCTCTCTTTTCCTCCTGTATATTCTGATATTCTCGCTAATTCATCATCCCCTACCCCCATCGTGCGTCGCATCACGGATTATTCGGCGCATATATTTGATAACTAGCTAGATAAATCTGTCGTTTCGAACACTGGGGGAAAGCTATCGAAGATTCCTCCTCCTCTCGCGGACAGATTTCCTCCTCTCCTTCAGGAGGAAGAGATTCGCGACATAGAAGAGAGTCGCAACAATTTCACAATGCAATATAATGGATCGGCCGCGTTTCTTCGAGACGATCGGTTTTATCGGTTTCTCGTTTACCAACGATCGGTAAAACGAATCGAGAAATGGCCGCGGTTCCTCGATTCCGATTTTCTCGCGTCTTTTCCGCATTCATACGTGGTATTCTAGGAGTGATGAATAGAAGGAATAAGATAAAAAGATGGAACGCACGCGGTGCGTTCTTGGAACTCTTCCAAAATCCATTCGGAACGTTTCGAGAGTTTCGAAAGGAAGCGTTTCGAAGATATAATTCGGCCGATTTTTCGATTTTTTCCTCGTCGAGGGAAGGGGAATCGAATCGTCACGTGTCGCGCTTTTCATTGGAGGAATCGAAAGAAAGAAAGAAAGAAAGAAAGAAAGGAGAGAATCTCTCGAGGCTTTCCTTTGTGATACATTTCTTCTGTGATTGATAAATTTCTCGAGACACGAGCGGCCGTTGTTCCGTTCCTTTCCGCAATCGTGTTCCAGTGATTCTGTCGGATCCATATCAGGTTTAGATAGAAGGTTCTCGCGTTTCTCGATTTCTCGTGATCCATCTTTCTCTTGAGCACCAAGATCGATGATCGATGATCGAAACCATGGCTCTAAATCATCCGTAGAATCGTAGCGATTATCTAGATTATTATCGAGTCGTTATCGGCCTTCTAATTTGAAAAATTATCTTCTTTAGCCTTAATCTACTAGTCTTATTCGGTGGCGAATTCTAAATCGATGTCGTAGCGAATAGAATCGAAGAGGGGAATAGAAAGGTTCGTCGTTTCTCCCGATGGATAGATAATTTTGAATTGACGACGAGCATGGCGTACCCTCCCCCCTCCTCCTTAATCGAAATCATTAGATCTCTCTTTGAGAATCTCGTAGATCGAGACCTTAGGGTTACTTCTTTCAGTCGAGCGGCCTTTTCACGAATCTCACTTTCTCTCTCTCTCTCTCTCTCTCTCTCTCCTTTTCTCTCTCTCATCTCTCGAAGCACGCAGAATAGTAAATTCTTGCCAAAGTAGTCATCATTGTGAGAACGTCCACGAGTTTATCTCGTTCAACGATATTTGTCTTGGAGAAGATTCGTTAGAAACCGAGGCGTGAAGAAACGTTTGGCTCGAAATCTCTCTTCGGATCTCATTTCTTTTTTCAACGTTTTTATATTCATCGTGTAGAAAGCGACGAGGGATGCGTCGCCGTCGAACATAATCGAAATTCGAAAAGAAGCGGCGGGGGTCGTAGTTGTGGACTCGTAGCCGAGTAGAATCGACGTTAACGAGGGAAAATGAGAAGTGATAAATGATCCTCTGGCAGATCGGGGACGAGACCCCATCGGAACCCCATTAAGTGTCGTTCCTCTCCCCCCTCCTCTTCTAATCCCCCTTGTGCTCTCCCTCGAACTCGAACTCGCCATTTTTCTTTCGGCCCATCCACTTCCATTCCATTCCTATTCCATTCCATTCCATTCCTATTCCATTCCATTCCATTCCTATTCCGCCGTGTTAATTCTTCCTTTATTCTCGAGATATATCGCCCTTCCAATCGTCTTGGATCGTCGAAATTTATTTAAAGCAAAAATTTGAAGTCGCACCATTTTTTTTGAAATTGAAACCGTGGCCAGGAATAGTATTTGAGAGACTGGGGTGAAAAAAGCTCATCCAAGTTCCATTAAACCACTTCTTGCTCCATTTCTTTTCTTACTTCTTCCCTTTTCAATCACGTTAATTCGCTAATTAACCGATGGCCGATCCCCTCCGACCATCCTCTTCAGAATCATCATCTCGAAATTGAATCTCGAGAGATCGATTAAAGTCTCTCTCTCTCTCTCTCTCTCACTCGCTCACCTGTTGTTTGCTATTTTCTTTCGATAATTTCCATCCGGTTGGAAGAGGTTTCCTTTTCATCTCCGAAGAGGAAGGGAGAACCTTCCATTTACACGAGCATTTGTACAAAATCGGTTGTAGATTCTCGGCTGTGTTCAATGCTGTTGAGTCCGTCGACATTATCCTCCCGCATACTTTTTTCGAATAATCGGAGTTCATACAGAGGGATTTTAAACGTTGGATCGATCGGGGGAAGGTAATAATAGGAATGATCTCCCGTTTAAACGGGAGAGCTGTTTAATTAATCTCGTTGTTGAATGATCGTTGACATTTTTCATCCTCGAACGTTTAACGATCGTAGAACCGCTTTTTCTCGAATCGTCGTTCTGTTACGTCTTTGTTTTTCCCATTCATAACAGATGTTCATATAATTGACGCTTGGCACCAGTTCAGATAACGGAAGCTGGATTTCAGCTTAACACTTAAATTCACGGATCACGTGAAATGGAAATTTCCTATTCTACGATGACGTGTATAATACTCCTCAATCGAGAAATATTACGAAAAGTAATTATTATTATTATTATTTATATTGTGCACATTTCGTATTTGCATAGAAATCAATCATCTGGATGATCGATGAAAATTTCGTTTTCGAATGTATAGATTTAAACAGATTTATCGCGCGATAAATCGGATGTTGATCCGAGGATATGATAGACGTGTCAGACGTGTATATACGAATGATGTTTGTCTGGTGTCAGTGTTGGTGTTCCAACGTGTTCCACGACGGCTTTAAATCAATGATAAGATTCATACGCGGAGAAGGAACACGCGGGTGGTTGAGCCGTCAACCGGCACAACGAATGTGTTCCTGCCGTATTGTGTATACGTACGGCACGTTCGACCAGGCTTTGCTTGAAATTGTCCGAATGGAAGCGAACGGCGTTTATATTATCTCTTCGAACAGTTAGTTTAGATTAATGGAAAAATATTTCGAGAGATTGCTGCTGCATTCTTCTGCGCGATTCGAGGTGTCTTCTTCCAAAGAAACTTGGTTTATACGAATTTGGCTCGTTCTTCGATTTACGACAGGAATCGATTTTCGTCTCCTCTCAAATTATAAATAAAATTCTATATATATGAGATCTCGAAGAGATCTCGAGCCACACGTAGCCTATGGACGATATCCCATTGTGTTGGGATTGCCTCGTTCGAAACGAAAGGGATGTCCAGTGTTTGAATCGTCTTCCCCGTCTTCTAGGTCGAGCCTCGCCGCTCGTCTAACCCTATCCTACGTCTTCCATTTTTAGATTAAAAAGGAAAAAGGAAAAAAAAAAAAGAGAAAACTCGACTGGAAGCCGCGCATCGAATCCTGCCCGAGCTCGTGCCCGCCTTCTTCTCGTCCGATCGCACAAATAATAATTAATAATCACAGCCCCCGCGACTAATGGCCCCCTTCTATAATTACACTAACTCTGTCCGAATTCCATCAAGTTCCACGAGACGACGCTGAAGCATTCGCGGTGTGGACACCAAGTGGAAGTGATTCGTCCCGGGCGAAACCGCGTGTACGATTGGAAGATCACGGAACGGAAAAAAAAGAAAGAGAAAGAAAGAAAGAAAGAAAGAAAAGAAAAAGAAAAAGAAAGAAAAGAAGAGAGAGAGAGAGAGAGAGGGAGAGAGAGAGGAAAAGGAAAAAAATCTCTTCTCGCACGCGTTGTTTCGTTCTCGGGTACACAGAA